AACGCGTCCTCCTCCGCCCCCTGGACCTTCGACGTCTTCCTCGCCCCGCTCCTCACCGGCCTGCTCTCCTTTCGCCGCCCTCTTCGCCTGGGAAGCCCTCCTCACCAAACGACAACCCGCCCTCTCCACCACAACCACCGCCTTCGCCCTTCCCCCCGTCCTCCTCCGCAACCGCGTCTACGCCGCCACCGCCCTCCACACCCTTCTCACCGGCTTCCCCTACCTGCTCTGCATCTACGCCTTCCCCGTGCGCTTCCAGGCTGTCTACGGCGCGTCGCCGCTGCGCGCGGGCCTGCTACTGCTGTTGATGCTGGCGGCGTCGGCGATGGGGACCGTGGTGGCGGGGGCGGTGAACGGGAATCCGGAGAGGCAGGAAAGGTTTTTTGAGACGTTGATGGCGGCGTGGACGTTGATGATGTTGGGGTGTGGGTTTGGAGGTGATGGCGGAGCCGGTGGGGGCGGTGGAGGCGAAGGTGTTGGGGTTTTTGGTGTTTGTCGGGTTGGGGTTTGGGTTGTCGGCGGCGGGGGGGACGATGTTGGCCGGGGCGGAGGCGCCTGTTTGGGAGCATGGTGAGTAGTTTCGCTTTTCCCTGTTTGAGTTTGTTTGTTCCCCCGTTTGGTGTAGGCGGGAAGCTAATCTCACGGGACCCGGTCTTTAGCGTCTGCCCAAGGCATCGTGGCACAGGTCCGCATCTTTGGCGGGAGTATCGGGATCGCGGCGTCGTCGGCTATCCTGGGGGCTAAGACCAGGGGCGAGCTGGCCGGCGGAGAGCTGCCGCCCGAGATGCTAGCGAACCTGGCGTCGGACCCGTCGGCGCTCTCGCCGGAGCAGTGGGGGTCTATCCGGCGGGCGTACACGGATGCGCTGCACGAGGACATGATTGTGTGCTGCGCGGTGCTGGCTGCCGCTATGGTGGTTACTCTAGGGGTGTACCGGAAGAACAGGGTGTCGATGCAGGAGATGATGAAACAGCGGTACCGCGAGGAGGGAGAGAGGCGGCGGGCGGCAAAGGGTGGGAGTGAACAGCGGGATTATCCCGGCGACGCGGCGGTGTAGGAGATTGTTGAGCGTTGGAAGGATTTTGGATATTATTTGGGCAACGGCGGCGGCGTTTGGATATACACTCAACAATATGGTTGGATGAGTCTGGTGTATTTTTATTTTGTTTATTGATATTTACAAGGGCGCTGGTTGAAAAGGGACAACCCAAGGGTAATAATAATAATTTAGTGGGCACTGCAGATACGGTCTAAACAAACACTCATCTCCGTCCCATCTTTCCTCTTCTCTCCCTCCCTACAGTAAGTCACATTTCACATCCCACTCCCTATCACCCCACAATTCGTGATTTCCTCACCTTTATCCAACTTAGCGCCTCCACTGGGCCATGTTAGCCCCGAGCTCCGGGTAAGAGGAGGAGCTATCAGTGCGGGGTAGCTGCTTAACACCAGAGCAAATGGAGCCGGTGCGGGGTGTTTTCCGGACCCGGCCCCGGCAACGGCATTCAT